GTTTACCCCATCAGCTGAAGCACTATTATAAGTGATTGATACATGGCAGCACTACAGCTGCATGTACAGGCAGATGGTCTGTGGGCTGCAGTGCACATCAATTCACTGAGTTTTATTGCTGATGTGTAACACTTGTTGGATTGAGTCAGTCTAGCCAGTTGTCTTAAAACAATTGTTTTTGTTTAATCACTTGTGTTGGAGACTTCCTTAAAAGGAACATAACTAAAAGGGAATCAGTGTTCTATAACACTACTATATTAAAAGAAAGGCATTTCTGATTAGTAACATTTTCATTGCATTGCTAAGCCCATCAAATCTGTAACTTAAGAGTAGTGCAAATATATTTAGAGTGTTAAAAAAACCCCACAAAACCAAAACACCCCGGCCCTTCTGTGTTGACGCAGTAGAACCCATTAGAATGGTATGGTTATCTGCATGGTTATTGCTGGAGCAAGAGTCTACTGGTCAGAGATTTGTTGGCACCCTTGTAGCACAAATGCAGTAGTCTGTGTCTGTGGTTTTGCTGGGGAAAGGGGGAAAATGCTGCCTGTAGTGCTGCCAGTTCTTGCTTCCTTTCTGTGTTCTGAAACAAGTGTTAAGGAAACTTTGTGATCATTCATTATTTCAACTGCATCATTCTGATAGAAAACTAGTTATCAATGATCCTCATTATGATGATCTTTAAAAATTAAGTCTTAAGTGACTAAACAAAAGTTAGAAAGAAACAGAGAATTAAAAAAACCCAACCCTTATGTTGCAGTGGTTATGTTTAGAGTCTTATTCACAGTACTTAAATACCTGTAACTGGCAGAAATACAACTTATTTTCCAAAGCTCACTCTGGAAAGAGAGTAGTGCTTGCCTGTTCCATCATTCTCTTTATACTTCTGTTCTTATTCAAATTCCAAGCATGTCAAACAACGTAAGGAACTCTAAAAAAATGTGTTTGGATCCATGGCTTCTGCCACAACCATTGGCTTTGGGGAAAAAATGAGGAAGACTGGCAATATTTTTTCTAGGAGGAGCTTATTATTAGTCTTCTGAGAATTAGCATATGGCTTTTCTTCATGAGTATACAAGTGCTTTCCATGATATTGGAGCAATTTATGTGCACTCAAATTCTCAACAATTTATGTATAATTTCAAGTGACCAGTTTTGAGGAATGGAAAGGAACCTGACTCTTATGTGGTTGTGTTTTTACCCCTGTTTCCAGGTGTCTGTTTCAAAGAGCTGTAACTGACTGGTAACACTGTGGTGGCTTTGAAAAATTTTAACGTTTTCAAAGGGAATCACAGAATTCATCTTAAACAGAAAGTCCAGAAAGCTTTCCCTGAGATCCAGTAGCTGGGGAAAGGATGGTACTGGACAATTGGTTTAGGTTTTTAGAAAGACTATTCATGCCCCTGGATAGGAAATGCCAATTAATGCTTTTAATTACTTAAAAGTTTTCTCTTTTCTGAACGTATTCAGCCGTCTTCGTTAAGGTATGCATAGATCCAGGAACAAGTTGTGCACCCTACCATATCAATTAATGAAACTTATTCCTAAAAGTAATTGAGGTTCAACTCCTAAATATACTTGCCAAATGTTTTTGTAAGGCAACTGATTCATAGAAAGCTTGGGCCTTGAGCTGAAGCACTGAAACTATGTAAACATTTTGTGCTATCCAGATGTCTTTAATAGCTTGATAAAAATTGATTATTCTTCACATGAATTTCACCTTAGTGGGGTTTTTTTCTTAAACATATAACATATGTGGAATAGCCAGCAAATACAAATTTTATCAATCAGATACAGTTTGACATTTTTAACACTTTTTAAACGTTACAAATGCCTGTTTACCATATGGTGTAAGTGGGTGTGCAGGAAACTACACTCTCATCAAGTCTGATATACTACTTTTCCATGATATGAGCATGAACATTTCCTTTTAGTAGCTCTTGCTGAAGGCAAGCCTTTGAAGAATGGGTGTGTAATTTTGGACTGTAACATTTACATTGCATACTTCTGTAGGTGGTTATTTTAAAATCAATTAACCCTTTAGCTTTTCTTATTTTTATTTGACTTTTATTAATAAAAGTTTGTTCTAGATTAATGCTGCAACATGTGAAAGAGGTAACAGAAAAGCAAAATTTGTATTTTCTTTCCACTGGTCCACTAGCCAGTTCTTATTATTGTGGCCCCAAGTATCCTATTTCCTGTTTCTATTCTCCATCTGTAGAAAATGCTGCAGACTTTCAAGGGAATTCTACAATCTTTGAACTGAAATCCTGTGTGTCATTAAATTGAATTAGTCATCATAGTTTCTTGAGAGATAAGATCATTGTAATTTTCTGTGACTTGAAGATACTGATCCCAAATGCTGTTCTGGCTTGTTTGCATACAATTAAGGTTTAATTCAGTTAAGCAGTCCCTCAATACTATCTTTTGCAGTACCTCAAATATACATTGGACCAGTGTTACTTAGAGCATGTAACTCACCACTCCACGCAAACCAGCAGCTTCTTGCTCTTTTCCCAGACAAAAGCTTCTGCTGCAGCAGCCACCTGAAACTAGAAGAGTACTCGATGATAACTGCTTTTCAAATGACAAGTTGAAGCATCATTTAAAGGTCAAAAGGGCACAGTTTTCCAAGAGAAAAGTGTTTGTACATAGATTCATAAATACTTAACATGTTGCCCCATCAAGATGCAACTTTTAACTAATTGCTACAAACTTGCATGTGCCTCTCTGAAGTGACTTGTTGATTTAGTCTCTTGCTTATCAGATAATCAGTAGCTTAATTTGTTTTAAAACAAAGTTTAGGTAAGAAAAAAAAATTATCCATGTCCAAAACTTTTTTTAACTTCCATTTCTCAGTATTTAATGCCTGGCAACTTCTCTGAAAATAGCAATACTTTTTTCTTTCTTTCTTGGTGTAAGCTATAATAGCTACTCTTTAAGCAGTGTGTCTTAAACAGGGTCTGACATTTACGACATGCTTGTAATTCATGAAACTATGTACTGTCACCAAGGGCAGTTCCAAAAAAATAAAGCATGTGAGCTTCATGGTAGTAAATATTTTGGTTGTAGAGTAATCCTTAAAACTGCACAGGCTTTCTGCTGTTTTTGAAAAATAATGTCTGTGTTAATATCCTCTTAAGCCCATGGCAGGACTAAGAAAATTCAAGTTAAAATGCATGTAAATCTACATCATGGCCAGGAGAATGGTTTGCAGTGCTACAGCTATCTTGCACCAGCACTCAGGAAGTCATGACTGTTTCTGCCACCAGTCTTTTTCATATACAACCTGCATAATTCTGAGAAGGGTGAATTGAAGACAAGTAGAAATGCAAGTCCTGGTCTTCCTCCCGCCATCTCCAGCCTAACACCCTGCAGTGGTTCCTCTGATCCTCTATCAGCACGTCTGTGTTCCCCGCTGATAAAGCGTCCCCGTGCAAACGCAGCCTCCTGCCGGCCTGGCCCGGCCAGGGCCGCTCTGATTCACCAGTCCAGGGAGCACCCCCGGGGCCTCCCACGGGAAAGAAACAACTCGGTCCCGGCTGGAATGAAGTGCGGTACAAAACCCTGTGGCCTCAGGCCAAAACCACAAACTCGACTCTGAATACTTCTCATATATATATATATATATATATATCAGACTTTATGCATAAGTCATTTCTTTCCACACCTTGCCCTTAATTTAAGCATCTCTGAAAGTCCTTCTCACCAAGTGTCAGAGTTTGAGAGCTGAACTATTTAGCTAAATGTACATACTGAAATGGAATCCACAAAGAAATGGGAAGTAGTTTTAACTCATTAAAAGTTATAAATGTTATGAGTTAACATTTTAACTCATTAAAGTTACATTTTTTCAATCAATTTTTTTTGTAAATTAAATTTTTTATTAAGCGATTCTTATTTACTTATTCTTATTTACTAGAAAGGACTTGTAAGGTCCTTTCTTTGTGTTTTATCACTCTTTTTGCTTAGTTTAAAAGAATCTTCTCTTATATGCAGCTTTTTTCAAGTGGAGGTGGTCTTATGCCAGTGACTGCAGGGGAGATTGATCTCAGTTGTTACTCACTTGAAGACTTCCTGAGCTGGGAAGTTTTTAGGAAGCTGGAGACTCTTGAATTTCTTATTAAAAGTACATCATTGCACAGATGTGTTCTAAAATAACTATTTTGTGTATGGTGTCAATGGCACTGTTTATCTACAGTATTTGAGACAAAGTAACTGCTGCTGGGATAGGAGTTCTTGTTAAGTGATCTTGTCAGTAATCTTTGGTGTTGAAGTTTCTTAATATTCAGCATGAGCTTTAATACTTGATTTTGTTCATTAAAGATTTTTAAATACTTTTTTTTTTTTTTGGGCTTAGAAATAGATTCAGTTATTACTGCCTTTGCAATATTCTGCAAAGAATAATTCCTAATAGAATTAGGAGAAAAAGGAAGGACTTCAGGATAAAAATATATTCAGATAAATTAAAGGGCAAATGGGAACAAACAGCTCAGTATTTCAGCTCAACTGCATACAGATGTTATATATGTAGGTGATCTGCATAGTGGTAGCTCCTTCCCAACTGAGGAATTTTATATCTCTTTTATATTTTAGTTATATGAAGAAGTATATAACTTTCACTGTGTGACTGTTCAAGAGCTTTTTGGTAAAGAAATAAATAATGACTGGGATCCTTCCTTTTATATGTCTAATTGTACATTTGTTTATTCTGACATCTGTCTACATTATAAAACATCTATGTACAACTGATTAGAGGCATACAAACTACTCTTATTTTTTCTAATTAGATTTTTTTTATTTACTGCATACTAATAAATAATATTTTGGTACAGCACATATTGTATATCATACATACAGTCCATTATATAGTGTAATCAAATGTGACATTATAAACTGCTTTTCTTCAATACAGTTATTTGAACTCACAAGCTTTGCTTTCTAACATCTGCCACTCAAAAGTTGCTTTACTGTATGAAATACGTTTGGGTTTTTTCCAGATTGTCACAAACATCTCCGCTTTTCAAGACTACTCAGACAAGCCCAATGTACACACAGTTCCTGACCACATTGCTGAAAGAACTGCATTTCAAAAATGAAGATCTGGAAAGTTTAACAAGAATATTTAGAATGGACTGACAACTTGAATGGTCAGTCAACTTTAAGCTACTTTGTGTGTCTTAAAACCAAGCTGGTTAACCACAGGTTTAATTTTCAGCATTTTGTAAGTATGTACAGTAACTACAGATTGTATCAGCTGGAGCAGAAAATGTGTGAAGCACATTTTAAAGTAAAGAAATATGTATGGTATGGAAATGAGTGTCATCATTTTGTCACTTACAGTAAATGCCAGCTGCTTACTTATCACACTTATCTTTTGATAATGTATGATTGCTTTACTGGAATTCTGAGGAATTTTTACTAACAGTTTATTAAAAAAATAAAATTCTGTGTGGCTGCAATGGCTAAGACTCACCAGGTGGTTTTTAATTATTTCAATGAAATTGTTATGTTCTCTTTTTGTGATATAAAATTGAGTTAAGAGCCACGGGTTTATTTGCATAATGTTGAGATTACGTTTTTCATTCCAAGTAGGCCAAAAAATTTAAGAGCAACTACCTTATGTTGATCATACTGAACTGATTTAATGAATATAGCATTATAGTATCATTACTGATCTCACTCCTTTGTTCCCCACAGAATAACATTATCATCTTAGCATCTCCTGCTACCTGAAATAGTTGCACAGAGAACAAAAGAACACCTTCAGTTGTTTGAGCTTTTTAAAATGAAAAATGAAAATTAGTGTGAATTGTAGTACTTGCATTTCTGCTTTTTCATTTCCTTCCTATGGGTAAGAATTTTGCAGTCTTGTGAAGAAGCTGACTAACCGCAGTTGTTCAAGGTATGAAGACAAGTTAAAATATGGATCATTTGAAAAATATTTAAAAGCAGTAGAAAAGAATTTGGATTGGTTTGGTCTTTCTTGGTTTGGAAACTTTCAGTCAAAGTTTGTCTACAGGGATCAGGGAAAGAGAGGGAAAAAAGCATGTGAGCCTCGGACGGTAAAAGCAGTGCTGCTGACGTTTTTCCAGTTGCCCCTGTGCTTGGAGCACGAATCTTTAAGAATGATGACTACAGTACACAAATATGTCTGATTCATAGCCTGTTTGTCTTGCGATTTCTAAGAAAAGGTCTTTGAACTTGTATAAAAGTTATTTTTAAACAGACTCTAGTTGTTACTAATTTGGACTTTTTAAATATATTTTAATAACTAAAAATATTTTGCTTTCAGTAGTCATTTCATTTCAGAGAGTTGTGTTATTTAGGCTGAGTATGTTTGGAATAGCTTCTTTCACTAACTGATTATAAATTGCACTTTAAAACTAGTCCACTAGTAATTCTTAATGATTCCATAATAGGTTTTATTGCATAGTTCTCAGATCATAGGAGACTGTATTTTGAGAGACTTGAGAAGAAAGTTGTAACTGACAGTGCTTAGTCTACAGCAAATGCCAGCTCTAGGTAAGGCTGAGGCAAGCCTTGCCAGGGCTGCTACACATTCGATGCTACAATTCGCTCCATTTAAAAAACCAAAGTTTTTTCCTTTGGTTTGCTTCTGTAATTGGACACCAGAAAGGAACTCTACACTTAAGTAGTTTACTGCTGTGTAGTTTCTTCATGGTAATCAGAGTAAATATGTGTAGATTACCCCCGACACACAGAAGCTCATGCAGCTTTGCCATGGAAGCTTCACTGAGCAGTAAACTTTATTTAGGCAATGCTTGACTTTTCCAAACTTACATTGTAATGGAAAGTTACGTTCAGTGTAAGTTGCAAAAGCAACAGTTTAGAATTAGGATAACCTTGAAAGCAGAGTTTCAGCTATACATTTTTTTAAGTATGCAGTAAGGGGGAAAATGCCCATTACGATTAGAGTGTGTCTGACACAAAATTTATAAGAATTATTGGATAGATGTTACATTGGTTTTGTACCATAATGGAAAAAATTTACTTGAAGCATATGGAGAGAAGGGTCAAGACCTCACCAGAAGATAAATTTCTATAGAAGACTTGAGTATGGTACTCATAGGTATGATACTCTGAGCAGAACTTAAACCTTTAATTTGTATCTATTCTTTTTTTTTTACCTTGGGGCACAAAGATTACCTCATAACAGTTCTGCCATACAGAGTACACCTAGAAGGCATTGCAAGTGTACATCATACCAGGAATGTGACTGTGTTTCATCAGGTTTGATGGCTCTCATTTGGAAAGTTTTTACACTTCCTGTCAGTTTAGTGGTGTGATTTCTTTTGTAGTTATTTTTAGGCTTGGTCTTCAGCACCTACTGTGTAGGAAATGTATAATCTTGTAATAAGAATGAATAGGTTACAGGCTGAAAGACCTCTCTATCAGGGTTCACTGTAACTGCTTTTACTGTCTGCCTCAGCAGCTCAAAAAAGTAAGCTTTCAGGATTTTTGCATCTCTTCTTACACTGCTGTGTAGTAAGCTCCCTCATTCTTTTCCTTACCCTACAAGAACAAAATAACATTTCTCCATCCATGAGGAAGAACATTCTGTAGTATGCTGGGATATTCTTCACTTGATCATTGGAGATGATTTCATCTCCATTAGATATAACACACATGTAAATAAATGCAGAAAGTATACATATATACCCAATACTTTGGAATAGCAGAGAGGCTATAGACTCATCCCAAAAGGATCTTTCAATACTGTCAGCCTTAACTGTGTATAAAAATCACAACTCAAATACCAAAAATTCAGTTCATTTATGTAGTTTTCTTATGAGCATGCTTTGTAACAGCCTAACTGCTTAGAAGTGGTCAAATCTAGATATAATTTTTTATCTTAAAGCAAATTTCTGTCACAACTATCTGCCCTTCAGAAGATGTCACTCTTTCTTAACACTGCTGGTTTTTGGTGTTGTTCTGCCCCTTCTCATTTTGCTTATGTTGGCAGACAGATTGTTTCCTTGTGGCCTTGTTTCTGTGCTTACTGTTTTTCCTTCTGTGTAAGTTAAACAGATGAGAGCAGTTGACATTTGGGTCAGTGGTGGTTTCAGCCTTATCTCAGATACACTAAATTGTAGTGACTGACTTCTGAGCTGCAGATGTGGAGAGACATCATGGATCTGGGGTTTAGGGTAAATGGGACAGAAGCCTCTATTTCTGAACAGCTCTGTCAAAGGGGCATGAACTTGGCAAAGCCATTAGCACCTTAGATGATAAGGATAATGAAGTCTCAGAAGTCCACTGCCATAACCATGTAAAGCATCCAGCACTGTCTGGTCCATGGCCAGCAATTGGAGTAGGATGTGTTTCTTCTAATAGCAGGGAGGGCAGAAAGGAAACCAGACTTAAATGGTGATTTCCCCCCCCCCCCCCCCCCCCGACATATATAATTGATTTAGTAAAGAATAGAAGAACAGCTTAGTTTAAAGCTTGAAGCAAAGCTTGCTTCATGCTGTTGCAGCCGCTGTGCCTCAAAGGAGGAATGTGTGATACATACCTGCATGTCACAGAATGGATTTCTTACCAAGTTTTCCTTAGCTGTAATGAAATAATCTCAGGAAGAGAACAAGGACATACACAGAGTCACATTTTCTCAACATTATTCAAAGCAGTCTTTACGCTGGCCAAAGAGGCTGATGGAAAGACTTTTTGTGTCTATTCTCGCACCAAAGTTCAGTTCACAGTCTGGTAAATGCTCTCAGTGTAAGCACTGCACTCTGTAATACTGAATTTCCTAGCGCAGAGACCTTCACTGCTGCCATTTGATTATTTCTGCCCATAGACCATGCTTAGTGATGTTTCTTGGATTTTGGAGAGAAAAAGAGGAGTCAGAGTGCTTCATGTGATGTTCACCATTTCAGGAAAGCTGAAAAGTCATAAAGTTACCCATACACGTTCAGGTTTTTGAAGAGATTACCTTGAATCTGTGTAAAGTACCAAATCAAGCTAGATACGGTAATGCAAAATCCTACATTAAAACAAGCAGAAGAGAGCCTGATTTATTTAATTGAAAACTATCAAAACAAAAAAGGTCCCCAGCATAACTGACAGGGCTGTGCTGCTGTCCAAACCCAGGGCTGGAAATTTAGATCCACCCTGTCTTTCAAAGGGAGATGCAGGGAGCAACAAGGTGCTGGTACTTGCATAAGCTGTGTCTGGGGCTTCACAGGCTGTGTCCACACAACACATACAAGATTCACCTGTATTTTCACTCTTCAGTCTCAGTGAGTAGCTTAAAAGTGAGACATCTGTTGTGGTTTTAGGGGGGAAATAACGGTTTTGTGAATCTTCATGTTCCATTCCCTACCCTTCTTCCCCTAGTTTGAGAGAACCTGGTTTCTACAAAGTGCAAGAGGGGATGAGCAGCTCAGCTGGACATGTCTCTTATAACTGCTGAGAAAAAAGGACTAGCACATCAGAGAGAAGGAAAAGGAAGAGAGAAGGGGAAAGCAATACTCATACCATCTAAATTTAGGCATCCAAACTTAGGTACCCGCCTCTCTTCATTTGCTTCAGAGAGAATTGATGCTCTTAAATTTAGGGTCTCCAAATCTTACCTTAGTGCATTTATGAAATGGATTGTGGTAATGCCTCTGCTCCTGTTCCCTCATGGGGGAAAGAAAGCAGAAAATTCAACTGAGAATACTGACACAGTAGACTGGCTCTCCCTGGAGTAATTTGTAGTAGAGTGTGGCACTAAACTGAATGGGGACCTGCCCCTGCACAGTGGGAAGTTTCTAAGCAAGCTGATCCTATTATTCACTTATTTTGATGGCTACTACTTCACACAATTTTTTTAACCTATAAGAGTTAACACCAAAAGAATTAAAGTGAGTGGCAGTCTTTAAGGAAAGTAAAATAATGTCCCTATGTTGAAATTAGGTCACACTCTAGTTCAAGAGTTTGCCTCTAAGTTTTCCATACTTATTGTTTATGTCTGCAATTGCATGTGAACACACAGTACTGTGGGTGGGGTTTAGCTTGATCTCACTGGGACAGCAGGTAATGCTGAACTGTCATTTCCAGTGAGCATTAAATATTGAAAACACAGACTCAGCCTCTCCTTTTGGCAAGTCTTAAGTTTCCATTAGAAGCAGATGGCATACAAGGTAGGGCTAGGCATCTAACTATAAAGACCTCCTGTTTCTCAACTGTGTATCTCTACCACCTGACAGCCAGTCCTCCTCTGATTAGTGTCAAAGGAAGTGGGTGTGCCTTCCATTAGCAAAGGCGGAAAGTAATATTGGTGGAGACTTTTCCTCTTGTGAGCTTTCTTTTTGTGACTCTTCATCTTAGAAACACTTCTCTGCACAGAGTGGACAGTACTTTGGGAGATGGGCTGCCTGAAAGATGCTGCAGAACGTGAGCTGTGGCATTTGTGGTGCTACACAGGATTTGGTGGGGGGGATGTGTGTGGGAAACACATATCTTCAGGTGGCTCTCATTTAGCATTCCTCATTTAGGCTCTGGTTTCAAAAAGCCAGGGAAAGCAGACGAGCCTCTGAGCAATGTATGGACATGTGTGATAAAGTCATTCCCCCTGAGCTGCTTGTAGCTGTAGAGCAAAGTGCAAGCTGGAGTTCTGAAGAAAATAGATAAACTTTGCTATGAGAATTGAATGTGTAGACTGAACTCCTAGACTTGGTAAGGCTAATCAATCAGAACAGTGCAGTAAGTGTGGCCCCTGTATGCTGCAGCTGTCCCCCTCTTTGTTGACTATCCTGCAGTTGTCTCAAGACAAGAGCTCCAAAGAGACCCTCTCCAACAAACAGGCCAGAGCAGAACCACAGGTTGTAAGGCAGTTACCTCTTGCCACTCGGCAAAGTCCCTGCTTGGAAGTCAGTCCTCAGGACAGTGCAGTAGCCTGTTCTTTAAAGGCAAACTCTTCAGTACATTTTTGCACACTGTGATTACCTGTGGGAGGTGCATGCAAGGATCAGAGCACAAAGCCACTGGGGCTACTGGCTGGTACATCCTGCTTCATCAAATCAATGCCATTTCTGGCACTTCTTACCTTCTTAAATTTTATGGCATATGTAGCTGAATTGAACGCTTAGGGGACAGCAGCAGCTTCCTGGGGAGTCCTACAGTTAGGTTAGAATTAGTCATCACTACAGAGAGCTTGAAGGACTTTGGATACAGCTTTAATAAGCTGCAAACACTAGATCAGGATTTGCATCATAAATCT